TTAAATAAAGATAATACAGTCACATTTTGTGATTAATGGTCACATATTCATAATTTTAAGTTACAAATTTATTTACTGGTCAAATATCGTCAAATTTTTTGATCCCAAATTATTTCTAGGTCACAAATTTTTAAATTAATTGATCACATATTATTTCGAGGTCACAGATTTTTAAAGAGTCACGTATTATTATATTTTTTGGTCACATTTTGAGTAATTAGCCACAGATATTAACAAACATTTGGTCACAGACTACCGCCGTTTGGTCACAGGTCACAGATCGACCAAATGCTGGTCACAGATTACCAAACATTTGGTCACGGACTACCGCCGCTTAGTCACAGGTCGCAGCAGCCACAAACCACCACACCCACAGTCATAGAACACATGCAACAGCAAATCCGCCACCACCATCAATAGATCCGCCCCCACCATCAATAGATCCGCCACCAACGACCGCAAACATAAACAACTAACCACCAATCCGCCACCCCATAGATCCGCCAACAACCAATCCGCTACACCCAATACTCCGTCACAAAATCACAACCCCAAACCAATACTCCGCTGCCCAATACTCCAATCAAATCAGCACACCCAATACTCCACCGCAAACCACCACCTACAGCAGCCACCCACCATAGCAGCGTTGGGGTCATCGCAGCAGCGAGTCGCTGCTGTGGTGGTATATTTAAAGTGGCAGCAATGATTTGGATGGTGCGACGATGATGGAATTGGGTGAGATGATGTGGGGTTGAATGAGAAGAAGAGTGTTTGTGATCAATTTATTGGATAATTCATGACATAGTAAAATGTGTAATTTACGATTCAATTTATAATTATAATCCACAAATTTTGTCCTTGTGACTGATTTTTTATGATCTGTGACTAATATGTGATGGTGATCATAAATTGTTTGTGATTGCGATCGTGAGCAAGTTAATTAAATTATAGGTCACAATATTGTATCAGGGGTCAAAAAATGTAACTAGCTGATATTTGAAAAAATTCCACAAATTTATTATTTTTGAAAGTATTTTTTGAAACCTTTGTAGTTATATAATCTTCCATTCACCCTTATAGTAACCCATGTTGAGCTGACAAAAATCTCATATTTTCCTTGTTTTAACTCATTGGTGTACATCGTATCGGCCTGCCTAAAGGCTTTTACAGTTAAAAAAAAGAATACTATTTATAGTGGGCGACTACAATAATTGCCCTGCTTCACATCTTATGTGGGAGTTTGTTATTTGAAGCATTAATTTTTTGTAATTTTATTATTTCAAATAAAAAGTTATTGTCTTAATAACAAATTGATACATATGGTGATTATTGTAGGCACTAACTATGAATAGTATTACTTAATGGATTCAACACCTTGGCATGGTCCAAGTGAGTCCTAAGGATAGATTAACTAGAGTACGGGTAGGGGGGCCACGAATTTTTTATTGGATGTGGCCCTCCCCTTTTGTGAGAAAAGTGTACATCGGGATGTCAACCTTAATGTACAAATAGCAAAATCCATAGAGTAATAATGTGTTAAAATCTTCAACTGGCCTCAAATATTTGGAAATTTAAATTCCCAACCATTTCAAGTACCTGGGGAACCATGGACTCGACATTCAACTACGTATCCTATATGTGTCACTTTTTTATCTATTTACTTACGAAGAAGTATTTCTCTCTCCCTAACTTGGGCATTATAAGGGGCACTACTCAAAAACTGGACAAAAGAGAGGAAACGATAGTTTCGAAAATGGAAAATGCTACTTGTACATTAGAGATATATAAGGGTCTCCATAATGGACACCCTTATGTACACCCCGATACACTTGTAGCATCTCCCTTCGAAAATTATCCACAATGTTTCACCTTAGAAAGTAAGACCTCTAGCATACGATGTCAAAAGGATTTTTCAATCACTTGTCTCCAATTGGATCCTACCAATGGGTTTTCCGTTCAGCATCCCCAAAGAATACATTGAGGACATAACAATGTCATCGACTAACATATTGAATTCTAAACACAACATGAATAAGACCAAAAGGACTTTGTGAATGTAATATTAAAAATTAATATATATTTCACTACTCTGTCTATAAATATAACACTAAGGTTAATGAATATATAAACAAGAATATATAGTGTACATACCATTTTGTTATGCAGATACCAGAAAATGCCAAGCACTGAGTGAGATACCACCATCAAGCACCAGTGTGTAGCTTAGGATATCTGGTGCTTGCCCAATCACAGAGAGACTAGTTTCTGATGTTAGGCTTATGAGGTGGGAGTATGACTGGCTGTGAAGATATTGTTAGAGAGATGATTGTAGTCAAACTTCAAAGTTTCCCACATGCAGTATAGTTGTCAAGAAGATCTAAAGATGGCCCTGATGGGAGTTGGTGATATTCAGACACCAAATCACTAAAATATTTTACTCTTTCAACAATTATCTATGGCTTCCTTATCATCCTCAAAATCACATACTAATTGGGATTAACAATAGAATAAGAGGGGTTAAAATTAAAATAATCACTTTTTTTTCCTTAAAAAACTTATATAATAATGCTTATTTGATTAAAAGCAAGAGTGGGATTTCGAAAAAAAGCAAGAATGTGATAATCATCCTAGACAAAATTCTTGAATTATAATTCAATAATTATAACAGTCAGCCTCATTATGCCTACGAGCTGGTGTTATTTGTTACTATGAAGAGTCGAGATTTCATTTTAAAATGTCAAACTTATTAAGAGCAATAGTCCAAAATTTTATGTTAGTTAATGTTTTTTTATTATAACAGATGTGGATTTATACCCCAGCCCATTGAATTTTTTTTAGTAGAAAAAAAAATTTTCTTGTTTAATTTTTTTTTTTTTTTATACCCCAGCCTGTAATCCAGTTCTGGATCCGTCCCTACTTGGCAGCTACCTTAGATAATAGTTTTTTTTAGATGGATTGTATGTATTACTTTTTTACTTACATATGAGATTTGAGACTATGCTTTTATATAAGTGGATGACTTGATAAAAGTTTTAACAAATATTGATAAAAATTGATGAAATGTTTAGTTAAAAATTTGATATCCCACAAAATATGTAATTAAAATTAATTTTTAATTTTGACCTCAATTTTTTAACGAGTTTTAAACTTTTCCAAACAAGCACAAAGTCGGGTTTACCTTGAAAAAAGAAAATTCAATAATTAGGCTAAACTTTGACATTCCTGCAAGAGGAATTGGTAACCATCCCACTTAGAAAAATAAAAAAGGTACATCCCATTGTCAAAGGAATCTTAGATATTGTGGTCCATAAGAACGTGTTAGGTCATAAATTAACGGATTCCAATGGACTTATTTTCAACATCAGAATGGTGGAAACTCATGAAAAATAATAGAAAATATTAAAGTCTGAATTGTCGAATAGAAGTCAACAAGATCCAGTCTAATGAAATTTCTTCCACTAGGTTAACAGCTCATGTTTGAATAATTTGCGTGCACTCTACGGTTGGTTTTGAATCAACCTGGTTTCAATACAAAATGTATTGGAACATGGTTGCTTACATCATTTTAAAACTGACATCCAGAAAGCATCCAATATCATGACATTTTACCATTAAATATAATTATCAATATTTCTAATGTTCAATTAAATCATTCGTCCAACCTAGCGAACGGGTTTGGTTCAGGATCGGATTTGTCTCGCTTCATTGAATTGGCAAAAAGCATCTTGTGACATCCTAAAGTTCTTGTTCCAACATTTGTGTTCAGATTTGAAATTCTTGAAACATGACAAAAGTAAAAACTCGAAAAATATGTTACGATAATTTAATTGTATAGAATTGATGAATGTAAACTGTACAAAATATTTGTTTATATAGGCAAAAATAATTTTCTAATCTCATCAATATAAGGAAACTAAGGGCTCGTTTGACATGACTTTTGAAAAGTTAAAAGGAACTCTTTTGAGACCCAAAAGTTACTTTTGGACTTGTTTGACTAATTTTATGAAAGCATTTTTGGTAGTTAAAAGAGCTTTTAGATAAAGTTGGTTCAATATAACTTTCCCTAAGAGCACTTCCAGAATAGCTTCCTCCCGAAGTAGTTGTATAAAATAAAAAAAAAAAAAGGCAAAAACCATGCCAAACAAGCCTCAAACAATGTTAATAAAAGGAAAAAATATATATATATACTATTTTAATAACAACTAATTTCTATCATATTTACAATAAAATTGTCCTACATCATGTTCTGTTATTTGAACACCACACTTGGTCTTTATGATATTTGAAATCATTCACAATAGTCTTATGAATATGTTAGTTACGCAATAAAGAGGAAAATTTTGAATGTTTATTTATTTGATGCACTTGTCTCTCCAATATCCTGAAGATCTTTTCATTTGCATCACATTGTAATCCAATGTTCATCCCTAGTGACATCCTACGCATTGGTGGAGTGGGTGCTGAGGCATACATATGAATAAAAAACGCTGAAGGCTAAAGCATACTAATACCCAAATCTGCCTTTACTAGGACAGAGGAGAAGGATCTAACGTAACAGGTTAACTCATTATACCTTCATATTACCAAAAATAATGAAATCGAGAATATTTGGGTTCCTAAAAGAACTGTTAACTCAAACTTAACATACTGTAGTAAAATCTTATTACATCAAATGAAACCATCGTAAATGCTGGGAGGATAAGATTTTACATTAACATACTGTAATAAAATCGTATTACATCAAAAGAAACCATCGTAAATGATAGAGAGGATACGATTTTACATTATAGCATTATCACTTCTATCTGATCTCCACACATGCCGAGCACTCTACCAACCCTACCATCAAATTCTTGCCAATCTGGACCAAACATTAAGGTTAAATCAATCAGCTAGAGCTAATTTACAAGAGAATCTGTGCAACCTAGTCAGAAAATTGTATCAGTAACCTAAGCCAGGTGGTGGGTTTTACACAGTATATGATGATATAGGTAAATTTAAGATGCAGTAGGCATGAAGGTGTCATCCTCCAACAAAGCTTCAAGGTCGATCAGATCATCATCAAAATCGACATCTGGATTGTTCAGGATCCTATCATACTTGGCCTGCAGGGGAAATCAAGAAGATCATATCATTACACAGTCCCATCAACGAGAAGCAATAAAATTCTCTATTTTAGCAAAATTGTTGGTCATTATGTATGGAGGAGTCAGAGACATAATTTAGGTCAAATATGCTCACTTAAGGAGTGGTGTGTTTAAGGTATAATATGGGATAATCGGTTTGCAGCAACAATAAAAGTAGACTTGTGTAGTTAGTAGTAATTCTTGAATCGACAAGTAGCGTCAAATTTGCACGAGCAGGGGCTGTGGAGTATGCAGAAATGCATTGGGAATGTAAAGTGTGGCGTGTCACTCAAGTGCACCATTTCATTAGCTAAAGCCATAGCCCAAATGGTATCTATTTTGTCGCATCAAGTGCACCCCTTATGTACAGTCCAAATATCACTTTTCCCACCATGTGCGGTCTTAAAAGTATCACACTCTAAATGTAATGAAAAATGCTATGTTCAAATTTTCATCACCATATGGACTCAAAAAAATTGCAGGATCAAAGTTTCCATACAAGGATGCAAGAGTTATCATCACTTTCAAAAAATTAAGGTGCTCGTTTAGCACGATAAGTTATAAAATAGGCCAACCTTTGTTTCCTGCATTTCTGAGACTACATTGAGCAATCTGCGGTATTGGTCTCGAGCCTCTGGGTACTGAACCATGGATTTCACCCTAGCCAAGGCCTTCTGCAATCTTTCCTCTGTTTGCTTTCTACCTTCTTTTAAGAAATCATAGTCATCCTCCTTTGGTTCTGTTAATTGCACGCTAGTACCTGCAGAAAGTGCTTCAGGTTTGAATGAACTCAATCCTCTTCCTTTCCTTCGCCAGCGCAAAATGACCTTATCCAGAATGCCTACCGACCAGATTATCTTTTTGTAGTTCTTCCTCACCTGGTGTCCTCTCACATGGGCCTTTTATATGTAACACCAAAATTCAGAATTTTTGAAAATTTCATGGACAATTAACAACTGAAACATATAAGAAGCATGCATCACATTCTTCTTGATAACATACGAGATAGAGCACCAGACCTGAATTTTAATAATTCGTTGCCGAATCAACAAATACTCCTTTCTGCCTTTCCAACTGCGGAATTTATTTTGTATTGATATTGCAGCAGAATGCATTGGTTCATCATGTCGCCCAGTTTTCTTGCCTTTTACAGATAGAAGTGAAAGCACACGCTCATCTGACATTCCAAATTCACTGTCCCCATACTCTTTTGTCTGCTTTTTCTGAAATGACTGTACTCTGAAGACTTGATGAATGCGAGCTGCAGCTTGAGTTGCATTACGAACAGCAGCCAATGAATCTTTTAATGACAGTCCCTGGGGCAAGTCATCATAACCAACTAAAGTTGCAGTGCGCTCAGATAATGTTTCTACAGCTTTTTCTTCATTATCACCCTCCTTTGAATTCTTCAGGTTAAGTGAAAAAAGGTGGTAACTTAGGGCAGACTCTGCAAGATAACCAGCAATTCCTTTGTGTCCATTGCAGGATGCTAAGTCTGCAGGAGTTCTTCCAGAAGGACATTTGGGGGTGGGATCCGTCAATGCTCCAGGAGCTGCATCTATGGAGATGAGGAAAGCCACCATGCGCTCTCTAAAATCGCAATTGTTGGAGCAAAATACAGAGATAAGATTCGTCAAAAGATATAAGTGGACTCATAATATCAAGGATTACAATTAGCAGACAGAAAAACCAGAGCACCTGTTTCATACTTGCTAAATATGAACAATGTAGCTCTGAAACATTTATACAATATGGTACAAAAAGTAACCCAACGTAAAGCATCAAAGTAAAATACCATGATTCCTACCTGCCATAATATGCTGCCCAGTGAAGTGCAGTCCATCCATTTGCATCCCGAAAATTGACACTAACACCTGCAGCAATTGTGGGTTCTATAGCCCAGTCATACCCAAGAGCTGCTGCAAAATGCAGAACACCTTGACCACCCTCGTCTAATATATTAGGGCCTTTCCCACCTTCAGCAACCTTCTGGAGAAGCCAGTAATACAACTTCTCCTTTAAAAGCTTTTGCAATAGCCGGTCTTGTACCCTGTCAGCTGAAAATTCATCCTGCGTAGTGAGTTTTAACATCTGTTCCCACTCATTGTCATCTTTCAGCAATGAACTGATTTTACTGCACAAATCATTTTCCGCTGCCCCCTTCTGGACAGAAGTTTGGACAGATCCAAGAGACAAAAATTTCCCAAATCTCATGTGAAGAACAGTTTCACCGGAGATTACGCTTCCTGCATCTGCAATATCTACTTCTTGAACATCTGTAGTTCGGAATTCAAAATCTCGTACTTCGCTGCATGCTAGCCTGTTAGAACATGTCACATAGAACGGAACCCTTCCAGTCTTTTGTGAGAGTATGCAGCAGCAAAGAACGCCATCTGCTATAATCTCTGCCGGAACTTCCAGTTCACCAAACATGCATGCCCATTTATACTTCTCCACCTCTTCATGACTCCTTAAGAATTTTCCCATAATAACCACCTGAACGAAACATAAGAAAGAATATAATACCTTCATTATTTTGTGAAGTAAAACTGCAGTAAGAGCTTATACATATGAGCAACTGAATCAGCCCTAGACTAGAGTTTTTGATATAAACAACCTTAATTTCTGACCCAGCGTATGCCCAGTTCGGTGAGAAGTCATCTATGCTAAAGAGCTGGTCTTGGGAGAGAGAGGGGCCTAGAATATAGTTGTCCAACGGCACTTGATCAGAAATACCAGAATCATCACCTCCACTTTCAATTCCAACTGTCTCCCAGTAGGGCCCAGAACCAGGTTGCATTTGTGACTCAGTAACATCTCCAAGTTCTTTACTCATCCAACGGTCAAAGCTGTCGAGCTTTTTCAGACCTTCTCTTAGAAGCCCGTCTAAGCAAGGTTGTCTCAAGGCTGGATAATTGTCATTGTCATCAACATTTAGGTTGCCATAGGACTCCGATGCTAGAGAACTTTCTAGTTCAGTAGACATATCCTGCTTTTGATGATCACTATGCATAGGGCGTTTACTTTGATTGGCTGGATATGTATTGCAAGGCCCAACGGTGTCGTGCAGCTCCTCAACATTAACATTATGTATCTCGCTGTATGGATCATATCTGGAATTCTCGTGCAACTTCTGATCCATGGACCACTTCAATCCAACGTACAAAATCACATTCAGAAGTCTGATTAATTTCAAAGTCCGGATAAAAAAGAAAAGAAACTGTTTTGAACTTTATGTGCATAAGATGTAGAGTAGAAGCTCAACGTCGCAACATGATATATATCACTTCATTTTTGATTGACAAAAAATACAAGTATTTCTAGCTGCAATTAATTATACAACTCAAAAGCACAAAATTTTACGATTAAAGAAATACATGAAATAGAGTGAAAAACTTCTACTGGATAAGGCAAGAATTGCTGAGGCTACTTCAAAAAACTAGAATACCGTTGGAAAAAAACCTTCCGAACTAGTGCTTTCAACTATTTTTTCATGGATAGGTAAATAGGTGTTTATGAGTTTTAACCTCTAAAGACCACATAAAAGCTACCATACTATGGAACCATCTTAAGCAAGTTAAACCTATTAAAACTGTTTTGCATCTGTTTAGAAAACCCATCCTACCCATGCACTTATAGAACTCCAAAGTCCATTCTCAAGTTCCAACGTTAAACATCTACTCATATCATGTCAAAGAGGTTCGATGAAAAGCCAGTGGATAGAGCGATCTAATCCTAATGTGGCACACTCAAGCTATAATGTTTGCATCTGCTGCTATGCTATGCCTATCAGTTATGGTGCATAGAAATGTAACAGTAACATCAATCTGTACCTGCCACTCTTCTAAGCCATTGGAATGGCTTCCAAACTCTTGCCTTTTATCAATGGCACTAGAAACAACTTGACCCAGCAATTCATTTTCTTGTCCAAGCATCATGCCCATTGAACTTTGGGCCGAGGAAAGCGGTGGCTGAAAATTGAAAGCTCGGTAGCCATCATTACTGATTTCCACATCATTTTCCCAAGATTGGAAATCAAGGTCGCTGTGGAGTTCATATGTAAAACCATTATCCATGGAGTTTTTATTTTTTTCTATTTGTGTAATTGATTCAAAACTTGCACCAGTAATAGCTGAGAATTGTCCTTGATAATTATCTGCAGAAATACTGAATCATTACAAATACAAAATCATTTTGATAATATTCAACTATGTAAAAGTACAAACATAATACTCCGCCGTCCATAATTGGATGAATGTCTAACTTTAACTATCACAGTAAAATAGATGTCTTTATTGTACGTACTTAAGTATTAATGTTCTGTTTTTTGATATGAAAGCTCATGCAGTATAATTTTGATAATATTCAACTATGTTACAAACATAATACTCCGCCTTCCACAATTGGATGAATGTCTAACTTTAACTATCACAGTAAAATAGATGCCTTTATGGTACATACTTTAGTACTAATATTTTATTTATGCAAGCTCATGCCGTAATAAAATATAATTACTCCATTTTGACCTTAAGTTCAATATCCACTGCTACATCTTTCGTTATGTCTTAAAATTTTGAACTAAAGGGTAAAAAATGATATGGATACAGAAATGGTCCAATTAACCATGAAAGTGAAATCATCTAATGGTTAATGCTGCAGCCAGAAAAAAGGGTGGCGACACATTACCTGATATAGGGACATCACAGTAAGGAATTGAACCATCTCTAATCTTCTGTACCATGGGTTGCTGTACATTGTCAAAAGACTGGAATCCTGGACTTTGTTGGTAACAATACACTGCAGATACAAATTTTTTAAGGATGACTATGAAAATAAATGATTTTTTAGAGTAACTCATTTACAGAAAACAAATAAGAAAAGTAAAATCTTCAATGCAGCTTCATGGATTGTAATACTGGATAGTGAAAAAGTATAAATGCACAGCAAGTAAACCTGATTCAGCATCTTCAAATTCAGAAGCATGAGCACTGTTAAGGCTAGCTGAATCCGTAACTTGCGAGGTTCCTTCATAGCTATATGGTCGGAATTCTGAAGATACAGAACTGACAACCTCGGAGTTGTGTGAATTTTCTCTAGGGTTTTGGGAATCAGGAATAACTTCAGACTCCCTAATGTGATTGAAATTTGTTCTGTTTGCCTGCAAGGAAACAAATATTTCAGGAAGTTTATAAACATTGCAACTGCCCAAAAATACCAAGGATGCCACTTGTCATATTCTAGTATTCAGAGTAAGAAATGCACATGAAGACCTAGATTCAAGTCAAGGCCAGGAATACCTTCACAAAACCAAATTATAGTTCACTGTAACTACTTTTTAAATAACAAAATCCTCAGATTATAAGATTCACATAATTTAGTTAAAATTAAATTTTGAGGATATATTAACTTTCTTGCACTTTAAGCCAAGAGGCGATTGCATAAAGATCAACTTTTTGATAAGATGTGCTAATACAGCTGTTATAACAGGCTGATCTGACAAGGCAGAAAGGACCATTACCTTTACCTCCCGGTAGTGAACAAGAACTATGTGAGACAACTCCCTGAAGCAGAAATCAGCAATTAAAAGAAATCAGACTCCTCCAAATAAGATGAAAAATAAGTAGAAGGTATGAAAAATTGAACCCAAGTACTGTGATCGTATAGGTACATGATTGACAATCCCGGATGCAGAACAAGAGCTAATTTAAACTAAACTGTTAAAATAATGTAATTATAGAAAAATATATCAATTAGATCATAAATACATTAAAAGGAATAAAACCTCAACGGCTCGTGTTTGTATAGGCCTTACCAGGAGTCATCAAAGAAAGAAGTAACTGATTTAGTGATTTACTAGGAGTCCTCAAATTTAATAGAAGTAAATTGATAATGAATTACTATGCATGCAATTTCTAATATCTAATAAAATATAATCAGTAAAACCAATAATAAATAGTGTTCTGTCTAAATCCTTATTTCCTCATAGTTTCTTTCCATTAACTAAAATTCTGCTCCAGCGAATTATAAGATTGTGCTTTGCAACCTAGTAGAAGCAGCACGAAGATCTAGAGCAACAAAAATCATCTAAACAGCCTGCACTTATAGTATAGTAACTAACACAAGGAACACTAATTAGAAACTAATACCAAATAACACCTTCCAAAAATTTACACCTATGTTTTTTACTGGAATTAAGGAAGCCAAAAGTGGATAAAAAACATGAAGATTTTGTATTATATCATAGAGATCCAAGAGCTCTTCAATAGTCCATCCGCAGTTTCTACAGTAAGGGGATGTTCAACTATCACAATGATTCAACCTACTTTGTAATGTTGCTAGATTTAGTTCTGCCTGTAAAGTCAATTGATGAAGAATAAGAGTTAGAGGGTATTTGGTGAGGATTAAAATTAGATTTTTAGTGGATTGTGATAGAAGTTTTTGAAATGTGTGGTTGAAAAGATGTGGGACCCATAACAGATGTGGTTAATATTGATTGTTTGACTTTGACTTAGATTAAAATCAGATTTTAATCCGACTCAAACATGCCCTTAATCTAAATCAATCTACTACTACAATCAATTTGAAGAGAAAAAATATATCCATGCAATTGACAGTACATCAAGGTACCAATCCTAGATATGACCTCATTTATATAAGCCATACACAAAACGAAAGAAATAAAATAATCGACGAGGGATCATTAAATTGGAAAACAACAAAAACAAAAAGAATTCTTGAAATGAGGAAAATAAAGTAAAATAAAAATTTCGATATTAATAAACAATAATAAATGGTAGACCAGCTGTTAATTTAAGTCCACCCACAAGACAAAGAAAAGAAGACCAGTGCCTATGGTCCATTTATTTGGAAAAAAAAATCGCTATAGAGAATTAAAAAATTTCTCCCAGTCAACACTTGTGTTGTTCAACATATCAACAATTCAGTAAATGGCAGAAAATTATAAACTAGTTGAACCTAACAGCTTTAGAAAGTTGGACAAGTAAACTTTTCAAATCATTGGATGTTCAGCAGTCCTACTGTCTGAAATATCAAGATCAGAAAAGCTTGAGAATGGAAAGTAGAAGAACTACTTGATTTGTTATGTGTTATTTATCCGATCATCACAAATTGATAGTTACAATTTTTTTCACATTATGAAACTTAATAAAACCAGACTTACTCTTCAAGCATCCAATAGCTGCGCCTTTGAAAATTTTGGTCCTCTTCTCCATGGGCATAGTAGCAATGTAATACATCAATACTTCCAGCCTGAAAAGATATAAGCTTCCAGATATATTATTATGGAATCATCAACACAGTTTACAAGAAGAATGACTTCTTATATCTGATTTAGCTTTTATTTTTTAAAACGGTTTTATCTGATATAGTTAGAAAGGTCACCACTTCTAAAGAAACTTTTTAGGTTTTTCCCAGTAAAATAAAAAATCATAAGCAGGGCAATATCAGTTGACACCTACCTTGAGCCTTTCATGAGCCTCCTTCACAGTTTTTCCATCTCTCTTCTTCCTCCAGTTATGGCCATCTTTCCGAAAGTATCGTAGCACCTTGCGGTCAAAAAGAAAGAGCGAACCACCTGAATGGGACATGATATCAAAATAATATGCATAAATCAAAATCAACTAGAAAGAAACAATAATGAAAAAGCTGTCACGAAGCCTTTTTTTGTTATTTGAAGAAAAACATATACAGGACTGGACGAAGACAGACATCATTCAACAATGTTATACAGTTCTAAGTTTAAACATCCATTGCTCATATACAAACACAAACAGAACGACACAGAGGTGCATCTGACAGAGTAATCATAAGTTATTAAGTCTAGTTGAAGAAGACAAAATATGACAACACAGTCAAAAGAACAAATAAGAAGCGAACCACCACAACAACTATAGTATTGCAGAAATTGAACAAAGCTGCACATAAAGATTCGATATTGATTAAATGGTCTTCGTTCGATTTTTTTTACCTTTAAAAATTTCGTCACGTATGATAGTTTCATTGCAAATTTACCCAACACCATACTCTCATGTCATGCAAATAAATCAGATCAGAAATTCGTGAATAAAGTGCCAAAACGTCTATTAATTTGAATCCAGTAAACCTTCAAAGTTAAGAATCCTACATATTATCACCAACTATTGGTATTAATAAGAACTAGTACACGTTTATAGCATATGTGACAACAACTAAAAGTTACAATTCTAAAGGTAAAAGGGGCATGTCAATGCATGTGTTTTTGTGTGTTAACCACTTTTCACAGCCGACAAAAGTCATCTCAAACGGACCATTATTAAGTTAACAGGAGCACTAAAAGTCTTACTTGGGGGTCTATTAGGAGGTTCTGGAGAAAGGCAAAATTTTTTGTAATTTCGAAGAATTTCACAAATTTCAGCAGGACGCAGCCACCGATGTCGTGCTTCCAGGAGTATCTGATCAATATCTGCATTAAACTAGCAACTCAGTTAATTGATATAGACATATAAGTTTTCTTGCAGAGAAAGAATTTCAAGAAAGCAGAGATTGTAGAAGGCATCACTTAACACCTTATACCACAGCTAATCCATTTTAAAGGCAAATTCTTAATCCTTCATGATAAATGACAAAACCAATACAAAGAGAGTTCAGGCGCTTAGCCCATCAACTAATTGTTTCCAATTATCATGAAATTCTTCATATCCCTTAGGTACATCCCTCATTATGATGACTTAGAATAAGATTTGCCCTTTCTCTAGCTCTCCCAACAGCAGCATGCAAATATTGAAGGTAGTTTAGAGCATGTTTTGTGCAATAACACCGTTTTTGGAGCAACGCAAAGTAGTGTCTAACTATGAAAACGAAAAAATGATTTACTAACAAAATGTTAGTGCTACACATAAAATGAGACTCATGTTAGATAGGGAAATCAACATCTAACATGAGGCCATTGAAAAGTTGAGAACTGATAATTATCACGAATCAATGAGCAAAAACAAGTGTAGCAGCTACAAAGAGAACAGCTTTAAGTGTGTTGGCAAGTGGAGAATGAAAGCAAATAAAAAATTATTCTAATAATGTAAACATTATAACTATCTTAAAAGAGTTAATTTCGACAGATGTTCATGAATGAACTGGGGTTTACCCACCACAAAATATTTCTATCATATAAAATAGAATGTGGCAAAAGAAAACAAGAATTGCGTTCTTATTCCGTAAGCAAAAAAAAAAAAAAGATCACAAAATATTTTTTGATTCCATTCAGGCGGATGCTATCATATAAAATAGAATGTGGCAAAAGGCACCTGGATTGCGTTCTTATTCCTTAAGCAAAAAAAAAAAAGAAGAAGAAGATCAAAATGCTTTTTCATCCTTCCACGGTGATTTATTCTTTGGGAAATTTTTCTAACCAGGCTGGACAAAGTCCCCTCTCACTCTAAAACTGCAGTTTTTCAGAAATTTCCTCTTATTATTGTCTCCCATTATTTTTATTATTATTATTTTTATGCTAATTATTTTGCGCACCTAATTACTATTCATATAAATGGATGCTTTGACAAGATGCTCTCTGCCTCGGACTATTACTACTTCAAATCACGCATATTCCTTAAGACTGAGAATTTTATAAAGATACATGTGTCTACACACCTATATAGAGATTTAGATACACGTCAGTATATGAATAACTCTAAAAGAATATCCACTGACTTTTGAAAATTTTAAAGATCAACTAACCCAAAAAATAAAAAATCGTAATAAACAGCTTAAAAGGAGAAGCATGAAAGAGGAATCACCTAATTGAGCATTGAGCGGGAAGCGCCAACTCTCTGCCATCTCTCGTCAATCAGAAGCCGTTTACTCAAATCTCGTTAATTCTTCAATCTTACAAAGATTTGTATCTACTGTTCATTCATAGCAGATCAAAAATTAACTAGAAAGGAATAAAATCCGAAGACCGCTGCTTATAATTCACTGATTCACTTAGCTTCTACAGTCCAAAATCGAGACAAAAAAATCCAAATCGATGACGTTACAGACAGAAATTGATCAAAGATCAAGCACGGAAAGTTGCGCAAATAATCGAGAGCATCAAAGAGGAGAGAATGAAAAAGGTTAAAACAGTGAAAAATAGAAAAAAGGAAGGGAAAATGAGGTAGTAACGAAGAAGGTGAGAGTTGTTCTGGGGGCCGTCTAAATGGATGACAGTTAACAAGATCATACGGTGGCAGGTTACTTTGTGTGACGTAAGAATGTCGATTTTTTTACGTAGGTTTGATTATTATTAAAAACGTGATCTGTATGGTGGAATATCTAGAATAACAATATTTCAATTTTTAATTCAAATGCTATATTTTCTTATTCAATATACATAAAAATTCACAAGTCGAGCAGGATTTTACATTTTTTTTTTCTTTCAAATTTGAACAAAAATAAGAAAAAACAAGCGAACAATTTAATTAAAAAAAAGTAACACTGGTTGTCAATCAAATTTAGTGCTTGTTTGACAAAAAATTATTAAAATTTTATTAATTTTAACCCTACATTTTTTTTTTAGGATCCATAAATTTTGTGGAACTTTTCATATATTTCATTAAATTTTATTAAAATCCGTTAAAACTTTTATAAAAAAAAAAAAAAATTCAAGTCATTTATGTAATGAGTAATGTTATTCATTACTTTAGTGTTAAGTATCAGTTTACGTGATAATTATATGACATTAAATTATGGACGATGCTAGACGTACGAGGAAAAAGGGGGTGGGTGGTTTACAAGCAAGACACATAGGAGGGAGGGGGTGGATTTTTTTTTCCTTTTTTCAAACATGTGGGGCCCGTCAGTTGTGAGAGGCCTAGCAGGCCCCTCTAAAACCCCCACCTGTACGTGGGGGGTTTGTCCTTAAATTATAGGTTCATTTAAATGCAAAATCACGTAATCCATTTAATTGAACTGGAGCAGACCTATGAAGGGAACTCACCACCCCCACTAGATTTTCAAATGCGGCTTTTTTAAATTTAATTTTTCATATATTTTTTTTAGTTTCTTTTCCAATTTATTTGAAATAATTTTTTACGTAACTGTGTATCGCCTTCATTGAAACATAGGTAAGCAGTAAAACTAATGATTTTTAATAATTTACACTTAAATGGTAAAGTTTTTAGGGAAAAAAAATGATTTTTAATTATAAACACTGATCACACATCCTAGATAATTGAATTGGCCAATCCCAAATGGCCAACTAAGTGAAAAATTAGTAGCTTCTATTCCGCGTTGACCTAGTCGTCTTCAGTCACTTTCCGTCGACATTATCTTGTACTGTGATTTAACGAATGAAAATGAACTTCCAGCTATGAATCTTTTCAATTTAAAATATATCTCAATTTTTAATTCTCTTATTGTTTAATTAATTCATTTTCATATTTCACCTTATTGTCCCTTTGTTGTCTCTCTTTATGTTAATAATCATGTCTTTTATTGATAAGTCTATGTTAAACAATAGTAACATAGAATTTAGGAACAGCTTTTATTTTGTAAGATGCTTTTGAGTAATTCAAAAGTAAAATGATAATAAAATTTAGTAGATGTGTACATAGAAGGAAGAGAGGGTAATTGTTTAGTTAAAAGAAAATCATTGAAGTGGAGAAAGAGAGAGAAAAACACGACGCGAGACAACATGAGATGAGCATAAAAAAGAAAGAGATTGCACTAACATAGTATGCTAATACGATAACTCGTTAAACTATTTCTTTTCAATAACTCTTATATTGAGAATACATTCCAAATAATCGAACTTTGAATTTTCTTTACTGGAACTTTACTTCTAGTAAGAGGCCATTAAGAATCGCCATCAAGCTTTCTTCAAGATGTAACTATTCGATTGTCAACAACTTAGAACCTCTTTAACGTAGATTTTAATTAAAATAGATTTTATGAAAAGTAATTTCTTTTAAGAATAAGTGATTAAAAAGTATGGAAAAGTACGTATACACATGCAAAATTATTTTATTAAGAGAATGTATGATTGAAAATAAGTTTGAACAATAATCAATTTTTCAAAAATCTTCATCAAACATGGGCTGAGTATCAATTGGAAGAAGCCTTAAGCATGTTACTTCATACACTCCACTTTACTTGAGAACTGTCTTCATACTTGATACTTGTCAAAAGCATTTTGTATTTAACCTACATTTTTTATGTTGGATTACTTCCAGCATTTAAAGAACATAAAACAATAATTTTAAAGTAGTTTTTGGGTAAAACATTAAAAATGTACGGTCTGACCTATCTAAATTAATATGATCATTCGAACAATAATTTATTAATAAGCGAAGGTTATTAATTTGTGGAACAACTATTTAAAAAAATTATTTCATGTGTATTTGCTGATGTCCAAAAACTTGCGACCGTTACTTGTCAATTTCTCCACCAAATGTCTATTTGTGCCCTTTTAAATATAGAAGATGTGCAACAAATTGTTTATTAGGAAATATCAATGAAGATCTCATAGTAGCTAGCTACATGCCTACATCGTCGCTAGACCATTATGAAGAGAAAGTTGAAGAAGATATGGATGATGACTCCCCTTTGTCCACCAAAAATAAAACTTAGGTGCCGTAGACACATGTTTCTCTTGATCTTAAGGAACCATATTGTGGCTCGTAAGGTACTCCGAAATATATAATTTGAGATAAGAACAATTGAGAAGAAACGTGCTAGTCTAGATGGATGGTTGTCTAAGGAACTTGATTTTCCTAATTAAATCATTTATATTTTGTATTAATTATTAGATAGCAGAAATATTGAGATATACCTATAGAATGCAGTTGATTCATGATATTTTATTAAATATTACAAAAAATCATATTATAATCAAATAACAAAATCGACAATATTCCAAATGATAGTTAAATACTGTTGACCTGGCAATTTTAGAGGCAAGGAAAAAAAAAATTAATCAAATTTGAATGATTTAGTTGTGCAACAATTTCTTTCTCAATTGATAACATAGTCAATCCATTCATTCTTTCTTGTGACATAGTTGATCGGAGATAAATCTTGATTAACTTCAATTTGGAGAAACTTCTTATAGATGCAACTATAACGATATGGTTAGCAAAATTTTGTAAGCAATATAAGCATTTGGGAAACCGTTCAATGTCTTCAAATATTGTAGATCTTCAATTGCTCTCGTTGATGCACTTGGTGTATAGCACCCCAAGACAAGTAAATCCAAATATAAACCATCTCCATTAATGTCTCAACATCCATTAGATTCCATACGCTTTTCAAAATTTGTACATGACTTCAACAAATAAAAAATTTGAATGCCTAAACATATTCAAATTAAACAAAAATTCAAATGTCTTTTCATATTATTTAAATTGTTCAAATCGAGTATTTAGAGAAGATAGAACTTGATCAATTATAAAAGGGAAGTATTCAACTCTAAAATATTATTCAACCGATTGCTTTACTGAAAGCCCAAGATTGACTAATCAAGAGTGGGGTGAATTGGTTATTAAAACTTTTTCATTAATCATTCAAGATGAACACGCAAATGATAGAGAATAATTTAAACACAAGTAAGCACGTAAATGGAACAATATACGTAAATGGAACAATATAAATTTGCGCGAAGTAAAAACGTTAAGTAAAAGGGATAGAGAATGCAAATGACATAGTATGGAGGTTCGATCCAATGTAATGATCTACGTCCCTCGTTACCAAGCTCTCCGCCACGAACAAGACCTTTTTCACTATGTTGATTGACTTATGGTGCAATCCAACCCTTTACAACGCTTCCGGTGACTTACAATTAAGGAGTACCGATCTTTTTACAATGTTGATCTTTTCCGGGACCTCAACACGACCCACAATTCTAAAATAAGTTTACAAGTGAAATTTTCTCCTCTTAATAGATGATAATTCCAAAGTTGAGTATAAGAAGAGAAGTAGGTTAACAATTTGATAGATGGTAGTGAATGAAGCTCAAGTGTTTGATTTTCAATGAATGAAGCTCAAGTGTTTGATTTGAAAAAACTTTGATAGATGAGATGATACTCAAAGTTGAAATCAATCAAAGGTTTTTCAAATATAGAATGATTTGATGATAATAAATAGGTGAGAAATAAATGCAATTTTTTGCTCACAAGAAACTCAGTTAAATGCTCTTAAGTTGATGGTAACAAATGAGAAATGAGTTGGTATTTATATAGATGAAAAATGCCAAAATTTTTATCAAGTCAAATGACCGATCCGGTCGACCTCCAATTTCCGGATGACCAAAATGACCATTTGTACGAAAAAAATCAAAGTCAAAACGGTAAAAAATCAAACCGTTTGAGGGACGTCTGGTCGACCGCCTTTCAAGTGGTCCCAATTTTTGTTTTATTTTGTTTCGTTTTGAAATTTTGAAAAGTATGGTCTTTTTAAAACATTTTTCACTAACACTTCTAAAACAGAACATTATCTGAAAAGTTAATCTTTGAAAAATTGTTTCCTCATTTTATGAAATCATCGCTTTTTAATGCACAAATTCTTTAGTAATAAAATAGTCTTGAGCTTGTATCATTTGTTCCGTATATCAAGGTGTTAGTACCTTTACATTTATGCAAAGAAGACAAGTATATGATCTTGTTCGAAAGTTACGGCTCTTGTTTTCTTGAATGATTTCTTGAATGTGGCTTCGACCTCGGCATTCTTCGATTTGTGATGATAGCTTGTGCTCGTATGACGGCCATTGATCGTTATTTATGCGCAATGAAAAACTATAATAAGTTGAATACAACTTGTTAGTAAATAAGACCAACTTGTTTGTTATAATCAAAATCATAGGT